GACGCGTGCTGAGGGCTTGTTGTATAGGGCCCTGACCGCTGAGAGGAAGCCCTCCGGTGCCTCAAATTTTAGGAGGACTGCTTCAAGGAACCTCCAACCCAGTCGGTCAAAGGCCTTTTCCGCGTCCAGTGCTACCACCATGCTCCCCACTTTCAAACGTTGAGCACTGTGTATGATGTTCAGTACTTTTCTGGTGTTGTCACCTCCCTGTCCGTTCTTAATGAACCCCACTTGGTCTGTGTGGATAATATGGGGGAGCATGCATCCTAAGTGCATGGCATATATTTTTGCGTAAAATTTGGCGTTGATGTTTAACAGGGAGATGGGGCAGACATTTTGGGGCACATGGGTGGTTTGCCAGGTTTGGGGAGTGTGATGATGTGGGCTAACAATGTTTCTTGGGGTAGTTGTTGTTTTAGAGTGGCTTTGTTGAATGCATTTGTTAGGTGAGGTGTAAGGAGGGCTTTAAATGTTTTGTAGTAACAGTTGGCGAAGCTGTTGGGGCCTGGTGATTTGCCTGCTGGTAGTTGTTGGATTGCTGTGGCAACCTCATCGGTGATGATGGAGGAGAGTTCTTGTTGTTGTTGTGGTATAAATGAGGGGAGTGTAATCGTGTTTAGGTACTGTTCTATGGCCAGTGGTTGGGGTTGGTGCATTTGTGCGTCCTCAGAAAAATTGTATATGGAGGTGTAGTACCTTGCAAAGACATTGCTTATATCCTTTGGAGCTGTCACTTTGTGTCCCTCTTCTGAGGTGAGATATGCTATCTTCTGTCTAGTTTGCATGGTTTTTAGGCATTGGGCCACTAGTTTGCCTACCCTGTTGTTGCCCTGTGTGTATTGGGATGCTTTGAGTCTGTGGAGGTACTGGCCTGTTTTGTGCAGGGCCTGTTTGTGTATGTCTTGCGTGAGTTGCACAATGCGCTTTTTTAATTCCGGTGTTGGAGCTGTTTGGTTTTGGGATGTGAGATCTAGGAGCTCTTTATGCCAGTTCCGCAGCTGCGCTTGTGACCGTCTCTTGAGATATGCAGCCCTTTGTATTAGTAAGCCCCGTACCACCGATTTATGAGCCTGCCATACTGTGTTGTGTGTTGTGTGGCCTGTTGCATTCTCTGTAAAATAATGTTGCAATTCAGTTTCTAGAGTTTTGGTGAACTGCGAGTCTGTGAGGAGGAAGTCACTGAGCACCCAAGGGCTGCGGTGGGTGGGGTCATATAGGTCAGCTAGGGTCACCACAACTGGTGCGTAGTCCAACCAGGAGATCTGTTCTATGGAGCACCCCTTGACTTGGTCCAAGTGTTGTCCTGACAACAGTATTCCGTCTATCTGGGAGTATGTGTTGTGTACAGGCGAGAAAAACGTGTATCCCCTCTCCCCGACGTGTGTCACACACCACACGTCATAGTAGTGGTGTGTAAGGAGCAGTTTCTGTATTGCCCTGCTCTGTCTCTTAAGTGGTCTCACTCTGGGTGCAGTGGGCGACACAGTTGAGTCCACCATTGGGTCCATTATATGGTTAAAGTCCCCACAAATTACACTAATCCCTTTCTGTATTGTCTTCAGTTTCTTAATTATCTTATGCAGGAAGTTCCTTTGCTCCTTATTGGGGGCCTATATACTCATGATTGTGTTTACGACATCGTTGAAGGTGCCCACCACCATAACGTATCTCCCTTCTTTATCTACCTCTAGTTGTGTGAGGGTGAACGCCACATCTTTGCTGATTAATATGGATGTGCCCTTTGACTTATTGGAGTGTGTGGCGTGGTATTGGTATGGGTAGTCCCGTGTGAACAGAGGGGAGTATGCGTTGGTCTTGAAGTCCGTTTCTTGTATGCACACTACTTCAGGTTTCACCTGTTTCAGATCATTATGTAGTAGGCTACGTTTCGAGGGGTGGTTAAGACCTTTGGTGTTGTGGGTGTATATTTCCATGGGGGGTCATACATTTTGGTATGCAGTTTTAATTGAGTTGTTATGTCTATTTGTGGGAATGCCCACCTACCCAGCGTTCTCGAACCAGGTGGCATCTCCCTACTTGAGGTGACTTTTTGGCGGGTTCCCCTGGGACAGGGTGTTCCGCCATACATGTTGGTGTGCTGGCATTTAGTGTGCTTAAGCTGCGAGGAGTAACAAACAGTAAAGTCAAACAAAATAACTGTAATAACTAAACTAAAGGCACCATGGGGGAAGAAGCTATGTGCTTCCATGCCTGTGTGTAGCAGTCTTGTGACCTAACATGCTGTATCTTTAGTGTTTACACCCCCCTCTCTTATTGAGAGATATGGAATGTTTAGGGAATAGATGTTGCGGGACGTGTACCACTGGTCACTCCCTTGCTTAATATGGGGGAAGAAAAGGGCAAGATGTCTGCCCCCTCCCCCCCCCTCATCCCCTGTTACTAAGTATCCCCCGGTACGTGAGCAGTCCCAATGTCTCTTAGCGGTACTTGCCACTTTCTGAATTTCGGTGTCCGCTCTCCTTACTTATTACGGGACACTTTTTTCCATTTAGCGTGGTCGCCGAGATGTCTGCGTAGATTGCTGTTCCCTGATGTGGAGTTGGCAGGTTCGACGCTGTCTGCATGCTCTCATGATTGCTTCCTTTACATGGAATTAGTGGAGTCCCACCAGGACGTTTCGTGGCGCATCGGTTGTCAGGAACCTCGGTTTTGGCACCCTGTGGTATCTGTCAAGTAGCAGCATATCTTGGTGGAGGTCTGGCATGAGTGTTTTGAATAGGCTTTGCAGATGCAGGTCAGCCATTCCCACTGATTCTGCTATCCCACGGATCCAGAGGTTGTTTCGCCGCAATCTGTCCTCCATGTCTGCGAGTTAATTTTCAGAAGTTTCCATGGTGCTGTGCATGTCGTCTATATCGGCTCTCAGGTCATTGTATGCCTCCGCATGGACCGCCATTTTCTATCAGGGTGCTAGTTACGCTTTTGTTTTAGGCCTGTGTAGCACGGAGCTACACTGACATGTGGCTGCTTCGCTCGAGCTCCAGGCCACGCCCGACCCTAGCATTTTTAATCCTATCTCTTTAAGGGAAAACCTAGGCATAAAAGGTCCTCTGTAGTGCCCCTTGCATATAGAGTATGCCTGACTAGAAAGACTCTTACAATTACTTATATACTTCTGATGACTGGAGGCTCAACCTTAGGGGCAGTGCCACTCCAGTTTTTGTTGCAATCAAAAATCATAAATATATATATATATATTTTTTTATTTTTTTTGGGGGGGGGGGTTATTTTTGTGTAAACTTACATCTTTGGGATGCATCTGTTTGATCAAACATGTTGTGATGGAGCCTGTTCCGATCGCGCAAACAACTGGCTCAAGACTCTATGCAACTCTCCCTAGAAGAGCTTTTTCACACCCTTGCCACCACCTCCATCAGTTCGTTGACCTCCAGGCAGCAGAGAGCCGGTTTACCACCCCTAGGAGCTGTTGGCTGGGAAAAGTCAGATCTACACCAGTGAGTGAGAGCACCAACCACCTGGAACTCCCACTCGGCACTTTCTCGTCGGCAGCCTGAAACCCTGCACAGGATCGGAGGTTAGCCACATCCCACTAGAACTGCATTTGACGATTACTTAGACTACATATCTCTGATCTGAACGTGTGCACCCTAAAGCACAAACACACACGCCGCGTGTATGTGTGTATATTTATATATATATACACATACACACACACACTGCTGTGTGTGTGTGTGAGAGAGTGCTGGCAGTGTGCTGTGAGGGTTCTGTGTGTGTGTGTGTGTGTGAGGGTGCTGTGTGTGTGAATTTGTTTGGAGTGATTATGTGTGGGGATAGTGTGGACAGATTAGGAAAGGTAAGAAGGATCTCCCCTTCCTTCTTACCTTTTGCCTGGGAGGTGGATCCTTGCTGCCATCTCTGGTGGTCTTAGTGTTGAGAGTGAACTCTAGCCTGCAAGGCCAGAGTACACCCTCGCGAGATCTGAGCGTTGCCGTGGCAACTCTCCAACCTCGCGAGAGGAACCCGGCGGAGCTGCAGGCTAGAGCTCCCCGGGTTCTCTCCTACCTCTGGGCCAGTGAGGGAGGTCTTTAATCTCCCCACCGGCCCGTGGAGGCACACTGTAGGGCCAGCGCTCGGATAGCGCCGGCTCTGCATGGACCGGCAGGGGACCTTGCACACACCTATGGATCTGAATGCTTTTTGGAGAGTTTGCTATTTGGAGCAAGCCCTGTCCGGGGATGCATGACTTGTCACCTGTATTTGTAGGGAACATTATATTGTAGGGCGTCCTGTTTTCTGTGAGTTATTAAAATCATCCCCAGTTAATTAAGTTATCCTCCCAGACTGAGGGCATTGCAAGCGCCTGACATGCACATCATCATATCACGGCATGTTAGTACCCATTAACCAAACCCTAATAAACCACAGACACCAAATTATACTGTTGGACTTATTTGTCCACAGCTTTATTATATATGTAATCATAAATATAACAATTAGAGTTATTGCCAACAACCATCACGGCATTTTAAAACCATAATCCCCCCATACAGTCTGACCCAACACATAACGTGGCTGTCAATACAACCCCATTTTCAATAATAAACTGCAGGGGTGTACCGAGACACCCCTACACCACCAGGTTCGGTGCCACCAAGGAGCTCGAACCTACCAACCACGTAAACTCCTCCAACAGGTTCGTAGTGTCACGGGTGGCAGTCCAGAGACCGGGACCCCTATATGCCTGATGATGGTATGAGTTACAGCGTAGAAATGAACACTCAGGGTCTGGAGCAGGGTAATCTCAAGCCCACTGGTGTTCAGCACCAGGGTTTGTGCGGCCAGATACCAGGGCCCTGATGCAGCTTCCGCGGATCCCAGGAGCTTGATAATATGCAGATATGTATCCAATACTAGAAACAAGGCAAGACTAGAACAGGCACCAAACAAGATGACAAGACTAGAAGAACCTAGAACCGGAGCAGGACAGAAAGCAGAACATGTACACAAGACATGAGGGAAACAAGAATAGGACATAGACAAGGCAGGACAGGATGTGAACTGGGAATACAAGACAAAATAAAATGACAAGGCAAAACAAGAGGAGAAATAACCAAGTACTATATTTGTAATTAACATTGGAGATTTAGACATACATAAATGGCCAAGATGTAGCAGTCCACCACTGCGCCAAAGTACTCCAATTACGGTGGGTCCTAACTGCCTAGATATGCAGGACTAAAAGTACAACATTAAAACACATACAGTACTTACCTGCAAGGAAAGGGGCAGAGGAATGAGTCCACAGCTAGCAGGAAACACTCTGAAACCAGAAGGGTAAATGGCAAAGGAACGGGTGTGGCAAAAAAAAAAAAAAAAAACATTTAAAGGAATCCAGGAGACTGGGAATTCCAGGAACAGAATAAAGGAATGAACCCAGAAAACTCAACATATAGAAAACCAGACATAGAAAAGAATACCAGAAAAACTAAACAAGAATTGTAAAAAGAGTACTGGATATCAGAAGCCAAGGCCAGAAATGATCCGCAGACAGAAACAGGATGTGACATGTAGCCACCAAAGAGTTAGAACCTACCATCCACGTAAAGGTGCCTAAATCATCTTAAAATTATCCATGCCCCCCTTCCTTCTACAGGTAGCTCCCAATTTACCTTGCCATTCCCCGCCATAGCTCAGGGCTTGACACCCTAGAGCTCCTGAGCGCCCTCACCACACAAGAACAGAGCCCTGACAATGCCCTCCAGAAAGCCCATTTTAAGAATGTCATACCCCACATCTGATAGATATACCCCATTCCTCTCAAAATACCCAAGAAGCATACCTTCCAAATTCCAATGTCTCACAGCTATACCCCCTATTCTCCTTTCAAAAATTGACATTGTCTTATTTACTTTCCCCTGACACCGTCTTACTGCTGCAGGGTTCCTAGCATACCTCCAGTGAAAACGCGGAACCATTTCGGATCACACTACCATCATACCTGGGACCAGCTACCGTAGTCGGTCCAAATCCCTCTTTATTCCTTGTACCAAAACTCTGAGTGACCAGTCTTAGTTTATTACCCCCAGCATGTATTAACAATATACCTGGGGCCACTCCCCTCAACACCCTCCAAAGGATTTCCCCACTGACACCTTGCCAACCGAAGCCCCGAAAACCAAACCACATTAGTGAAACTTGCTCCAGAGGAAAGCCCAGCTGCATTCCACACGTCCTAACTGCGGCTCTCTTCTGTGCCCAGTAAACGTAAGAGTGGCCCACCAACCAGGCCACCCGACCTAAAACAAAAACAAAATTAACAACAGAACAGTTTCCCCCCACTCCAACACCATACCCTATCTTTAACCCAGCCAATTAGGCCGCACATATGATTTAAACCACACTGATTCCCACCTACCAATCTGTTTGATCAAACCATCCCCGAGCCCTAAACAAGAGTCCTCTGTGGCTGCCCCGATCATGAATGAGTGGGTCCCAAATAGCTTGGGGTCCAAACCTAACCTTTGTAGCCTCAGCTGAAAAACTTTAAAAAATTTAAAGCGGGACAGGGCGGACCCATCCTCGTGTAACAGGAAACAACTCTCAACCCTTGAGCGAAAGTCCATATATTTACTGGTACATGCCACTGGGCAAGCAGCCCTTTCCGAACACATTGGTCTTGGAGCGCCAAAGTGACCCCACGTCCACACCCGACCATTAAATTCCCCCAACCCTGAGTTGGTTAACTCTCACCAGTTCCCCGATCCGAAATGCCTCTTCATATCGTGAAAAACAAATATTTGGGAGAACTGCTACCAAACTTTGCAGGACCTTGAAGGACACCGGCCTCCTAGTGTCCCCCGACACCCAACACTTTCTGAACCCTGCAACACCTGCTGAACTATGAAGTGCTTGGCAGTGGCGGATATAGAGCCTGATCTCGGGAGGGGCACTTGTAGATTATTTAAAGAAATAATCCAGACACAATAACCACTACAGCTCAGTGTAGTGGTTATGGTGTCAATAGTGCCGGGACCCCCTCCCACAGTAAGTAGTCAAACCGTTTAAGAACAGTTTGACAACTTACCTGAGATCTGCTGGGAAATGGGGCTGAAGTAGGGCATAGGACCAGTGGTGTGTGTGAGTGGTGCAATGTGTAAGGGGTGCAGAGTGTGTGTGAAGGTTGTAGTGTGTGAGTGAGGGCAGCAGTGTATGTCAGGGATGCAGTGTGTGTAACAGTTGCAGTGTGTGTGTATGGGGGGGCAGTGTGTGTATGAGGGGCAGTTTGTGTGTATAGCGGGCAGTGTGTGTGTGTGTGTGTGGGGGCAGTGTGTGTATGTGGGGCAGTATGTGTGTGTGGGGGCGGTATGTGTGTGTATGGGGGGCAGTGTGTGGTATGAGGGGGGGCTGGTTCATTGGTATTAATCATGAGACAGTCAGTGTGTGTGTGTGTGTGTGTGGGGGGCAGTGTGTGTGTATGTGGGGCGGTATGTGTGTATGGGGGCAGTATGTGTGTGTATGGGGAACTAGTGTGTGATAGTATGGGGGCAGTTTGTGTGTATGAGGGGCAGTTTGTGTGTATGGGGGCGGTGTGTGTGTGTAGGGGGCAGTTTGTGAATGGAGGGGGGCAGTTTGTGTGTATTCAGGGGCGGTTTGTGTCTATCAAACGGTTTGTGTTATAGGGGGCAGAGGTTTGTGTGTGTATAGGGGGCAGTTTGTGTGTATAAGGGGCGGTTTGTGTGAATGGGGCAGTTTGTGTGTATGGTGGGGCGGTTGTGTGTATAGGGGCGGTTGTGTGTGAATGGGGGGCAGTTTATTGTGGGGTAGTTTGTGTGTATAGGGGGCAGTTTGTGTGAATTGGGGGGCAGTTTGTGTGTATTGGGGGCAGTTTGTGTGTATGGGGGGCAGTTTGTGTGTATAGGGGGCAGTTTGTGTGAATGGGGGGGCAGTTTGTGTGTATTGGGGGCAATGTATGTGTGTGTGGCTTTTTTTTTATTATATATATATATATTTTAATTTAATTAAAATAAATAAATATCCTATGTCCCCCCTCCCTTCTTACCTTTACTGGGGAGGAGGGGGGACATATTTCGATCCCTGGTGGTCCCAGTGGTGATTCCCTGGTGGTCCAGTGTGGAGAGTGAACTCTAGCCCGCGCTCCCGGGCTAGAGTTCACTCTTGCGAGATTTGGAGCGTTGCCGTGGTAACCGTGGCAATGCTCCAAATCTCACTAGAGGAGGACCCGGAGGAGCTGCAGACTGAGCTCCGGGTCCTCCTTTTCACTCCCTCCCTCCGCCGCCGGCCGCCAGCATAGTGCCTGCGGACCGGGGAGGGAGATCTGTGATCTCCCTTCCGGTCCGCAGGCACATTGCAGGGCTAGCACCTGCATGTGCTGGCAGGGGAGGGAGAGGGAGACCGGCGGATTTCTCGGGGGGGGGCAATTGCCCCGTTGCCCCCCCCCCCGGATCCGCCACTGGTGCTTGGTTAAGTCTTCTAAACCCTGCAACTTAAACAAGAAAGCCAGAGATGCCATATTCTAATCGATCATGGACTGGGATGCCCATTGTGCGAATAAATCAGCAGAGAAACCACAAGAGGGTGTCTATGCGACCCTCTTGCAAATGCCCAACCCCTGTGCAACCCACCGCCTCGTCAGACTCATTCCAGATCTTGTTGTACGCTGCCCATGTGCCCGGAGCGAGCTAGTTCCTTATGTACCCTCCAAGCAGGATGTCCCAAGCCGCCACCTCTCTTCCGAACAGGAATGGCCCTTCTCCTGCGTCCACTGTCAGTGATCGAAAGCGCTCTCACTGTAAACCAGACAAGGAATCAGCCACCACATTCAACCTGGGCATGTGACGAGCCCGGAAAACGATATAACACGACATGCACAACAACATGAAACGCCTGAGCAACTGCACCACCGGAAACTATTGACAGCCTGCACCACCGCCATGTTATCCATGAAAAAGACAACCCTCTGGTCCCAAAGAACATTCCCCCAAAGAGCCAAGGCAACCACCAACGGGAATAACTTCAAAAATGCCAAGTTCCACATGATAGGGTTCCCTCGCCAGGCGTCTGGCCACCCCATCGCCCACCACCGACTCGCAAAATACACTCCGAACCCGATACTACCAGAGGCATCAATAAATAACTCCATATCCTCCGACGAGGACATTGCCTCCAGAAAGAAAACTTTTCCATTGAAGTCTTGTAGGAAAGTATCCCACACATCCAAATCCTCACGTAATGATGCGGGAACTGGACCCCAACAGTAGCGCGGGCCAAAAACCTACTGAAGACCCTTCCCATTGGAATCACTCTACAGGTGAAATTGAGGCTGCCCATCAGTGACTAAAGTACCCTCAACTGCCACTACGAGTTAGCGGAGTGCATTCCGCTTGTTCTCCGGCAAGCGGCATCCCCGACACTGAATCAATCGTGTCATGTCAAGAAATAGTCGAGATAGTGTAACTTCCTTCACCACCCACTCCAAGTAGGTACTTAACTTCTCAAAATAAGCACAAGAGATCGAGCTGCCCATGGGCAGACAAAGATCCATGAAATAAGCCCTGTCAAAGAAACACACCAAGAGGTGGTGACAATAGATGGATCGACAATAAACGGAAAGCCGATCCCATGTCTGCCTTGGTCATTAGCGCCCCATGCCCCGCCTTCCTAACCAACTCAACCGCTTGGTCGAATGATGTGTAGGAAATGGAACACAGGGCGGCATCGATACCATCATTCACCGGTGTATCAACCGAAATTTACCCACTTCCTTTTTGGGGACAACCCCTAATGGTGAGATCCGCAGCTTGGCCAGCAGGGGTTCGGCAAACAGCCCAGCCATCCTCCCCAATTGTACTTCTTTACCCAATTTGTCACAGACCACCTCAGGGTGCTCCGCAACCGACTTTAAATTCTGACACAGGCGCCCAGCCCTGAAACCCGATGTGGAATAAAGAAACTTTCGGAAAACCCCTTGAACAACAACTCTGCATCACCCCGGTTACTGTAATAGCTTAGCCAAGGTAAAATCGCGCCGACCCTCACTGGCATTACCCTTTGTGGCAGCGGGCGTGACCGCAGCCCCGCTTGTGCTGTTGGCAGTTGAACACTTACCCTGCTTGAAGCATCTGGCGAGCCTGTGAGCCCCTCCACAGCCACAAACCTTACTTCTGACCGGCCGACGAAGAGGCAAGGGCGCACCCTTCTGCGCCATCAATTTCATCCAGAGTGGCAGGTCCATCTGGACCCATCGCATATCCTGATTGGCGGACAAGTGCTGATGGATTTTGCTTGTCATACTGCCACCGTGTCAAGCCCCCATAAGTCAAACAGGCCTCCCAGATCCCGTCCAGATAGCAGAACAGCTGAGAACAAGAGTCAGGAGATTTCTCCCCCAACACGATTGCTAGGTTACAATAGGCCCTGAGCCAATTCCCAAAAGACTTTGGTTTCCTTCGATATCTTCACCGTTTCTTCTCCTCCTCCTCTTTCTTTGAATCTTTTTTATCTTCCTCCTTCAGATCCAAATATTCGTCCAGAGGGAGAAGTGAAAAGATTTTAACAAAGTCACCCTTTCAAATCTTCTCCTTCAGCTCCTGTTTCAGGTGACAGCCCAGTGGCCCTGTGAAGGACACGTGCACGTTCTGTCGTGCCACATCCGGGATTTCCCCCCTTTAATTCAGCCCTCTCGCTGGCTACCTCCAAGGCTGCAGATTCCCCTAGCCCCACCTTGTACTCCGCAGTTACCAGTAGCTCTGACCGCAACTCTGTGTCCCCGATAGGAGGAACCCACACCAAACTGAAATACAACCCCTGTCCCTCCTCCGAGCGCCAAGTGTCCAAAAACGACTTAAAAATATCTAGTAGGTTCCCTGTGTGTGCTGCAGAATAGGACTCACCGCCTGAGCCCTCGACCGTTGCTGGCCTCAGGGGAACAGTCTGTCGACCAGATGGAGGTCTGGAGTGTCATTGCCACACAATACTTCCTCAGCTTGATCCCGCCGCGGGACCGTGGGAGAGCAACTTGCAGACAGCCTGGGTAAAATGTTCAACAAATACCTCACCCACCCCTCGTTCCTGCTCTCCTGTTGTAAAGCCCTGTAGCGGCCCATGCCGAGCCGGCTCGAATGGCCACCCTGCGTCACCTGCCGAGGTGGTGAGCTTGCGCTAGGGGACCTGAAAGCACTGCGCCAAGAACTGTGCCTCCTATCTGGGGACGCTGCTCGCCCCCTGCTGTGATGCCTAGCTGCAGGGCTCCCATCCCTGCTGCACCTCCTAGTATTGGATCGCCTGTCACCATTGCGCCAGTGCCTGTCCACGTGATGCTCCTCTCTCTTGTCATCCCTGTATGTGCTACGCCTCGCCTGAGAGTGCCTCCTCTGGCCCTCCCGTGCAGCCACATACCCACTGTCCCTCTCTACTGACAGCCTGGCACACTGTTGCTGCTCAGAGTAGTGCGCTGCTGACCCTAGCTGAGTGACCTGGCTCTCCCTGGCGTACACTAGGCCCCCTTCTGGCAGTGCCAGTCCAAGCCTAGATGCCTGTCACTGTGCCAGCAGCTGCACTCTCCTCCCTAACCCAACTGCCGGGCCCTGAACCAGCAGCCGCAGCCTGACCCCCCCAGCAATAGGGGCCACTCTTTCAGCCTTCCCCCTCACGGTGGAGTAATGGCCCTGGCCCGCTGTCCCCTGAGTCCAGGATCCACCCCGGCCTGCCCCAACCCAGAATTGGTAACTGGGGGCTGACCCACCGGGACCATGGGGGGCGCCTCCAGCAGCGTCTTCCTACCTGGCGGCTTTCTCAGGTACCAAGGAGCCCACCGTTCTCCCGCGAGACTAACAAGTAAGTGCAGATTTGATTAAGATGGCCACTACACACAATGGCTGTGTTATATATGACTGGCCTAAAACCCTGCCCCCTCCATTAACTTTCCAATGCCTAACTCCTGGCTTTGTCAAGGCCCATTCCCCTGCTGCGCTGTTCCATGGGCTACAATATAGCTGATTCACAGTGGGTGCCTGCCACTGGTTTTTCACGCTCTCTGGCCCCATCCTGGTATAGGATGAATTACAGCTTCAAATATCAGGTACCTGCCTTAATATGAATAAAATAGTTGCTTTATTGTCTTTAAAATATCTGGACCGTCTATGTATTTATAAAGTAAAAGTTGCCATGTAGATATATTCTTATTCAAGTCTAGTGCCCCACAATGTCTCCAACAGCCACCTCTGTACATTAGAACTGTTAAACTAAGAAAAAAAATCTCTAGGCTAGGTTACGGTAAGACATCTTGATAGATTTATTTATTTTAAATTAATGTTAGATTTATTTAAAACAAACAATTGTAGTTATTTGTTTTTTTTCCTTTCTGACCTCCCTCCCAACATGAGCGGTGCTGTCATTGACTGGACTGACTATGTAGAAAGCTAGAATTGTGGGCTGTGGCTAAGGAGGCAGGCTATTGTGCACAATGCTGCAAAATATGTATTATTTTTGCACTAACACATTTGATTATATAAAAATACAGCATGTTTTTGAGAATACTTGTAATTCTTCTTGTAAGTGGTGCCCGTTTTGGCCCTTTAAACAAGGATCCTGCTACCTTTACTAGTTTCCATGGTATCATTTTAGGGCTGTAAATGATATTGAAAGCAAACTACCACTAGATGTCGCTTACATCACATTTTATGACATCATCAAGTAAATCACTGAGCTCCAAAATCCCCAGAGAGCTTTTTAGTATAGACGGTGCCTCTCCTGATTATTCTGGTCCGGACACTCCAAGACCAACAGGGGAAGCTGGTGCTCTCCTCGCATCGCTTGAGAAGCTCAGACGGTCGAGCGGAGGTCCAGGGAATGGAGAGAGCTTGCCATCGGAGAGCACCAGGCATTAAGGTATAGCTAAAAAGGGCATTAGCCTATTACTGCAATAATAAGTAAGAAGCCACCTGCCAAGCAATGGATATATGGTGACCAGGAAAATGTAAAGCTGTAGCCAAACAGGGCCCAAAAGCACATGTGGTTTGGAATCTGCAAAAGGTTATATTTGTGGAGACTAAATGAATTAATGGGAGTTAGCTTGGATTAATAGCAAGGCACGTTCTCATAATCAGTATCCAAGGGATTTACTAAACAATCTGAAAACTTGCAAAAAGTTAAATCTGGCATGAGCCAAATTGTAGTGATCATATGGCACTCTAACATCCATGCAATTTAATAAGTGATACGTTTTCCTCAATAAATAAACATCACGAATCATCCCAAAACAAGCCACATTTAGGTGTGTTAAGATGGTTTTCATAGAAGATAAGTTTATTCCAAATTACCATTAAAATGTATGGATGTTAGGGTGCCAAGTTTTAAGATCAATATCATTTGGTTCAAGCCAGATTGAACTTTTTGGAATGTTGGTTAGTAAATAATCAGTTTCATGAAAAGGAGCTGGATGACAGGAAGCCAATCTGAATAGGAAGCTGGGAGAATATGAAGCTAACTTCAGCCTTCCGATGAGAAGCTTATTTCATAGTATTGTTTACATCTCTACCCCTACTTAACTCCTGACATACATCATTCCTGGCTGGCTGAGGCCATGAGAAAAGGGTGATACCTCGCACAGATTTTATTTCTCCCCTCTGTATCATGATTAGCCAACTGCATTCCTTCTGCTATTAGTATAATGTCAGCTATCACAATCCACAATTCAATGACTTGCAGAGTGTAATACAGAGCTCCATACAGAGCTTTTTATAGCAGAACATCCCATCAGCATTGTTGGATGACATGTTCCAAACACTTATTACCATTGTAGACTGTGGCACTGATGGAGAGGGTGAATGGACCAGCAGGTTAATTCCCAGGTCCCTACAAAAAAATGGAGGCCTAATGAGCAGTATGAGACATAGCTACTACTTTCAAGAAGATGGCCCTAATTAGGTACTTTGCCAATATAGTCATCATTTCATTGCATTTACAGTTATACTGTGTCATACTGATTAATAAAATATGTTAAGGCATTAAAAAAGTATTTTGATCGAATGATGAAAGTGACTGCTACTTGAGATTCCCAGTTGTTATTTATTTCATATTTATACATCTCCACAGATAAAGTTGATGTCCATATATTAATTTGCAGGACATGCAAAGATCTCCTGCTGAAGGTGGAGATTGTTCCAGTCAGTCCATTGAACAGGAAATCCAAGGCAATGCTGCTTCTGAGGAATACCCAGCCAGGTACATTAAAAAACAGCCCTGTATTTATATGAAGTCCCTATTCAAGCAATATTTGACAAAAGTCATATAAGCAAATTAATTGCTGAATTCACATCCACACTAACAATGTGTATTTTTTGAATTTTAAGGGTTGTTTAAAGCTTGTTAGTATGGAAAAATAGTTAAATGTAAGCATTAGTGAGTGTTCCAGTATTTTCTAGATTTCTATATGGAATTACGTCATATATGACTCTGTATATAATTATATATTTATGTAATCTCTATGTCCTCACCAAATATATTTGCACTGTCATAGAGTGTTTAAAAGATCTGCCTATGTCAAAACAGATAATTAAATTCCTGCACAGTTGAATGCTTGAATATTAAACATTTCACCTGTTTGAATCTCCGGATCTGCTTCTGTCATATTTAGCCTCCAAGTTGTAAATTATTGTGAATTCAAAGGGAATTACAAAATTTATATTCAATAAATGTTGACTAGTACAAAGGACATTACAAAAAAAGGAGAATAATACATGTCATTTAATTAGAGATTTAACACAGAGCTATTCATATATAAAAGTCCTTATCAATGCATGCTGCTTAAAAATTGGTTGGTGAACTGAATGAAAACCAGAATCCCTCCCAACAGTTTACCCTGGTATAAGTTTGAATGGCTCCATAAATGGGAGCATAATAGCATGACTTGCTATGCTCAATAAGTAATTATACTGTCCTGCGCTCAAACTCCCACTACTCCTGGACAGCATCAATGACTATAGTACACATCAGCCAGATACATACAATAAAAAAGTTACTATCCTAAATCCCTATGCATAATGAAATAACTGGAGATTTTTTAGTATCACTCCAATGGCCATTTAAGTGTAAGCTCACCTGCCACGTCAAGGCAAAATCTCTCAGTTGAGCTTAATTCTGTATGTTTGTTTTTTTATTTTATTACACAGCCATGTTACAATGCTGCCACTCACCCCATGTGTTCTCTATTAAGGGTTCATAGATGTTTATGGGTTTAGAGAGATACCCCTCCCTCTCTCATTAGAGATTTTTACCTGTTAGTTGAAGACCGCAAGATGAATTGTTAGTGCAGGACCCACTTAAGAGGTTTGCCTTGACATGGTAGCTGAGCGTACACTAAAATGGCCATTAGAGTGATACTAAAAAATCTTCAGTTATTTAAATGTGCATAGGGATTTGGGATTGTGCGCAAGTAACTTTTTTTTTTTTTTTGGTTTTTAGGGCAATACAGAACGCCAATATTTTGAGACATGGCACCCAGACCGCTTCATTGAGATAAAGTGGTGTGAGTGCCTATAGTCCTCTTAACACTAAACACCGTATATAATCTAACTTTGATATTAAAGGGACATAACAGTCACCATAGCAACTTTGTCTAAATTAAGTTGTTATGGAGCCAGGAGGCCCCAGGGTGCACTCTTACCTTAAGGAGTTAAACCATTCTCAAACTGCTTAACCCCAAAGATTGCCTCCAGGGCCAATCTCCAGGTCCTCCGGGTGGCATCCGGCTTCTGAATCTGAGTTACAGGAAGCACGAAGTGCACCAGGCAGGGCCGCCGCTAATCGGCTATAGAGATCAACTATCACTCTAAGCCAATCAGTAGCGTACCATTTTCAAAAAATGTGCCTTGTTAAATTTTAATATACAGGTTTTTTTTAATGTTTTTATGTCTGTAATGCCCAGTTAATAAATTCATGAAACTCACTGTTTATTATTTGGAGTGTGGTAGGGATGCAGGTGGTGCTTTTAGAATTCTGTTTCTACAGAACTGTTGAGTAAATCCGGCCCCACCCACCAGGGCTGGACTGGCCCACCGGGATACCGGGAAATTTCCTGGTGGGCCGTCGGCACCTGGGGCCGGGCCGGCAGCTGGCTCCCCTGCCGCCGCAGAGAGAGCTCTTCTGGCGGCCGCAGGGGGAGCTGGCTGTTCTGGCGGCCACAGGGGGAGCTGGCTCTTCTGTCTCTGCTCCCCCTCCCCAGCGCACTACAAAGAGATCGGGGCTGGAGTATGATGTCATATTCCGGACCCGGTCTCATTAAGCGGCGCGCTGGAGCGGGGTAGCAGAGGCAGAACAGCCAGCTTCCCCTGCGGCCGCCAGAAGACTCAGCTCCCCCATGCGGCCGCCAGCACAAAGGTAGAAACTATGTGTGTCAGTGTGAGTGTATGTGTGTCTGTGTCATGGTGTGTGTGTCTCTGTCCATCATGGTGTGTGTGTCTGTGTCATGGTCTGTCTGTGTCATGGTCTGTCTGTGTCATGGTGTGTGTTTGTCATGGTGTGTGTGTCTGTCTGTGTCACCGTGTGTGTGTGTCTGTGTCACGGTCTCTCTGGGTCATGGTGCCTGTGTGTTATGGTGTGTGTGTCCGTCTGTGTCATGTAATGTTTGTCTGTGTCACAGTGTGTGTTTGTGTCACAGTCTGTCTGTGTTATGGTGTGTTTCTGTCATGGTGTGTGTGTGTGTGTCTCTGTCATGGTGTGTGTCTGTCTGTGTCATGGTGTGTCTGTGTTTCTGTCTGTGTCACGGTGTGTGTGTCTGTGTCACGGTCTGTCTGTGTCATGGTGTGTGTCTGTCATGGTATGTGTGTTTTTACTCACCTTTTTCCCCCCCACGTCGTGCTGGTCTCCCCTCGACTGGCCCTGCCTCAATGGCTGAGATCATCAAGCTTGATGATCTCAGCCAATCCGCACTGACACAGGAAGCACCTCTAGTGACCGTCTGAGTGTCTGTCACTAGGAAGCAATGTAAACACTGCCTTTTCTCTAAAAAGTCAGTGTTTACATTGAAAAGTCTGCAGGGACAGGCTATAGACACCAGAACCACTACATTAAGCTGTGTGTGTGTGCGTGTGTGTGCGTGCGCGCGCGCGTTTGTGCGTGCCTGCTACTGAGTGAGCTTGTGTTTTTATGTCAATGACCTTATGTATATCAGTGAGATTGTTTGTTTATGAGGCTGTGTATCAATCATCTTGTGTCAGTGAGATTGTCTGTGTCTGCATGTGAGTATGCTTACTGTATAATTAAAAATTTTACTCTGAAAGGACCAATATTTTATATTGGAAAAAGCAATATATATATCAATCATCTAGGGTGGCAAGACATAGCCTTACATATTACATGCGACAATATATGGCGCAATGACTTATGGGGCTGACATAAATTTCTTTTTTTTCCAGGGCTGCTTTGGAATCCCCAGTCCGGCCCTGCCACCCACTAAAGGTGCTCATGTGCATGTTGCTTCTGAAATACTCTGCTCATGGGCTGACTTTGTGCAGCACAAGTCTCTTATAATGCACTTACTGGAGACAATTCCTCTGTGTCCCCAGAAGCAGAACACCAGGGAACAAACCTAGGACTATGACATTGGAGTCATAAACTGCAACTGTTAGGAGGCATGTATATAAACAGGCAATAAAACATACAGGCCCACTAGTAAAAAGCCTGTATAATTAGGTTAGATTTCCTGCTGGCACCTTGTTCAGTGTAAAGAAAGTTAATTTGTTTTCTCTTCCCAAATGAGATCTTGCTTCCATTTTGTGTCTTTCATGCACATGTTCCTCTCCGTTTTTGTTTCACTCCAGCATATCAGCCCCTCCATTTTAAATATCCTGTGCCCTAATCCCACTATAATATACTTTCTGCATAAACGTCACTCTCTGGGGAAAAACTGTTATTTCAACATTCACTTTCTACCTCTTTCATAACTCTGAACTTCCCTTATGATCTGCCAGTAATGTTTTACTATCCATCTTATCAGTTCTCTCTTTTTTTTTTCTATCTCTTTTTTTTCTTTTTTGCTGAAGAGTGGAAAGGATGAGAGAGGAGGTACAATGGGGGAGGTAGGGGATTCCCAGCAGTCTTAGGGAGCAACAAGTACCATTCCAACCATCCATCTCTCCCATCTCCCGTGTATCTAATCCAATATATCCTTCACTCTCAGTAGGATTTCCCACATCTCCCCCACCCAGCCGGTCAACTCTGTCCCGTCAAGTCCACTAATACTATGGCATTTTGGGTTACATCCCAGTCTGTCTTGAATAAGGAGTAAGACGCCGTCTGGTGATAGTCAAGCCAGGACATCAACTTCTGTATACACCTTTCTGTGGTGTCCCTCCACTTTGCCGTCAAAAACTCCATGGTTTAAATCTTCTCTACCCTATCCAGCCACCACTGAAATGGCAGCACACTTGGCTGCCTCCAATGCAATAGAATCAAAGACTCTGCTGTGTTCAGCTGATGTTTAGTTAGTGATTTGTTTAAAATATTTTGACAGAGGGACTTTGTATGATGTCACAACATTGTCAGTAGACAAAGCGGAAGATCCGTGTCAGTAATTTCTATTATGGTATAGTGTATCCGATTCCAGTATAGTATGATCACCAAATGTGGAGACCTGGTTTGACCTGATCCCCACATCTTCAGCACACGTTCAAGACCTCCGGGTCAATGCAATGAAGCACCTCATGAGTCCTGCACCAGTTTGTCAGCAACTTATAGTTTAACTCCTGATATTTGGAGTAAATGGAACTCTGGTGAGTCAAAATGAAAATCTGTTACAATTCTTGGTCAGTTAACATGACACCTTACTCAGTCTCTCACTAGTTGACAAAGATTGGGGACTGGCCACTGTGCGCACGCCCCTTTTAGTGATGCGGCGCACACGTGCCGGTGTCATGACATCAGTATGGCTGATTATACTGAGTGTTAAAGCCCTCTCATGTTTTGGGGGCGTGGTTACTCAATAACGCCCCCAAACATGAAAAAGCTTGCTTAGCTCTATTCACAGTGCCCTCTTGTGGTTCCTGAGATGACCAAGAGTGAGTTTTATATACATTTCTGTTGTTGTTTTGGTATTTGATCCAGCTATTCTCTGACTATTCTGTTTTTCAGTGTTCTGTGACCTTGCTCTGGTTTTTCGTTATAGTGATATCTGGCATGCTTTGACCTTGGCTTGTTTTGAAGTTTATACTTTATATTTTAAGTTCGTTAAGCCTGGCCACTATAAAGAACACTATAAAGTATAGGTACTTTCTTTGTCCCTCATTGGTGTGTTTATTTTCTGCGTGTTGGATCATATATACCATGACAATATCTAAATCTGTGTAGGTCCTCTCATGGAATAGTGCCTCCAGTGACTTACAGGATTGTGAGTGATTGGTCTGAGTTATTGGTCTGAAGGGGCAAGGTGTGATGGACAGCTTGGAAACGACTCTTATCAAACCCCATTCCTTCAGGGTCACTTCAATAAGGGGGTTATCCACCTTCTTGGACCTCATCACAAAGCTGTCACTCCACAGCAAAGAGGGGAGTCTACCCTCTGCCTGCGCCAATTTTTGATCCACCCATAGTTTAGAGGACTCTCGGACATGCCAAACTGCAATCCTGAGCAGGTGCGTTGCCCGGCAATATGTGGCCATAGATTGAACTCCATACTCTTAAGGAGGATAAGTTGGGACCTTTGAACAAAAGCTGCACCCAGCCCCCATAAAAAGGATAGTAGATGTAACCAATTGAAAATAGGCCCTATGTATTTCAATGGGGATCGTGTGGAAGAGGTATAGAAGTCTCGGGTAGAGGTTTATCATGATTGCGTTGCTCCGTCCGAACCATGAAATACATTGCTCAGTCGAGCAAGACAGATTGGACACCAGTGTTTGCAATACCAGCTGAAAACTTACTTGATACAGACATGCCAAGTCTCTGGGCAACCATATCCCAAGATACTGAAGACGTTCCGCACACCAAGAGAACAGTTACTATATACTGGATACAACCTGAAGTGGGTGTCATTAACCCGCATTACCCTTGTACATGGAAGCCACCCATGCCTGAATATGCAGTTCAAACCCCATCTGCAGTAGAGTCGCGGAAAGGAACTGCTGGTTCACTCAGTTAATAGCCCTTTTTACATTTGTTGAAAGGAGGAGTTCCCTGCCCTCCTTTTGAGCTGTGTGTATTATGTTAAGTGACCTGATGCTGTTGTCCCTTGCCTCACTACCTGGTATAATCCACACCTGATCCGGGTGGACCAGCTCTGGAGGGACCCTACTTAGGCGCAACATCAGCGCTTGAAAAATAAATTCAGACCTGCATTCAGCAGAGAAATTTGCCTGCAGCTGGCACCTATGGAACTGTCCACCAGTGAGGAGGGAATTCAGACCATTAGGCAGTTTGGGAATGAAGACATTCCTGTATGTCTTAATATACAGGAGCAGAAGGCAATCTCATCTTAGAAACAGAAGCAGTTTTTTTCAGAGACAAATGGGCCTCTAGTTCTTCCACATCATCTGGAGACGATGTACAGTTAAGATTTTGATTTAAAAATTTAGCGATCCTGTTCCAATGCTTAAGGTACTCCGTTGCTGAGCAGGTTTGCATCAGGTCATATAAGGTGGTTTAATATGATTTTAAATGTTTGTAGTATATCGGCTAGGAACTAAAATTTCCTATCCCCTTGTGTTTTAATTATGTGTATGTGGCATAACCACCTCCTTTTTTTTTTTTTTGGAGTTAATAACTAGGGCTAATAACCTTCCAAACTTTTTAGAGTATTCATAAATATAGTGGTTGGACTTCTGCATAGTGTTAAGCAGCTTCTGGGACAACTGATCAGGTCTCTGTACATATCATCAGACAACAGTGTCAACCCATGGGTCTATAATACAAGGCCTGCAATCGTGCCCTTAATGAAGAGATATCTATCCTCGGGATCAGCTAGTTAAGCTATACACTTAAACAGGACAGTGTAAGCAAACAGGATGCCCACCCTTCCCTCGTGTGTTTAGAGTTCCTCTGGTCTTGCAGTGCAGGTGCACGCCCCTCCTTGAAGAGGGTGTCCTGCAAAAATGCTATAGACACCTTATTCACCTTCAGGGCCTACAGAAGGTGAGCGTGTCTCTCAGGGATGTTCTGCCTATCATAATAGCTTGGTCCAGACCTGGAGTGAAGACGTGATGTTGAAGGTAATGACTGAAGAGGAGGAAAAAAAGGGTTGGAGGGAGGTAAAAACCAGGAAGAGAGGGAGAATAGGAGAAGCTAGTAAGAAGAATAAAAAAAGGAAAAAACAATGCAACAGTAATTTATGTACACAAGGTGGTGTATCAGGTGAGGAACGTGTGTGACCAAAACTAGGTCCTATTCCCCTCCTCTACCTCATACCAATATTCACAATAGGGCCAGCCTCTGGGAAATGACATAATCAGCTGATACCGCCACACCAAGTACAGTGTGTTGAGGGCTTTGGAAATTGATAAGTTAGTATCTGCTGCCCCTGGCCCAGTAAGCCGAATAAAGTGGCCCACTAGTGCAAGAGTGCATAGGAGACCCACTATCTTACTATCATTATTGGGTAAGAGTACAGTGTCATATCTATACCTATGTGAAAATGGCTTCATAGTATAACTGCTAAGAATAATGGATCTCTGCAGGAGGTCCCAATCTGCCTCCTCTGAGGTAAAACAATAATCCCCTGTGCCTTGCTCTTGCCTCTGCCAACAGACATCCTTCTGCTCAGCACAGGCCTTACTAAAGTGTGATAGAGTAACAGAAATTACTTAATATTGCAAAAGTGTATTTATTTTTCATTTTCACCTATAGTGACATGAAGTAATTGCAGTTTTCCCATAAGTGCAAGGCTACAACAAACCTGTAGCACCAGTGCGAGGAGCAATGCCAGCCATTTGTCAGTATGACCACTTGGGGGCACCATCAATCCAGGCAAGTCATGCCCCTCACCCAAAATCAAAAGAAATTGCAATTAAAGTCCAAGTAGGTAGACCATGTCCACAAAATCATGCCCAATGTCACCAACAATTCTCACATAAGCTTTGATATTCTCCTGTGTAGACTTAGTATAAAGTGGCCTGATGTATGCTTAGAAAAGTCTGTCGTTTCACGTTCCTTCTCCGTAGTACTGTTGTAAAGAGCAGTTATATTAGAATATGTGACTTGCTGTCAGCCGAACCACTTATGACACCTTTCTTGAAAACAAGAAACCATTGAGTGTCCATGCATAGCAAGTGACAGAGCATACAATTTCAAGGTGTCTCCATTCAGCTTGCAAGTTACATAGACTAGTTTCCCAGAGATCTTCAAAACGGTCAAGTCCTGCAGTGCTTATGATGTACAGTAAGACAGAACTGAAGAGAAATGCCATTTTTAGTGCATATTGTGTGACTTTGCTGGATATTGCAATCCTACAGGTGGAGTTCCACAAGCTTCCTCATTGTACTATAAAAAAAAAAAAACAATTGCAAAGTTACAAATAGCCAAGTTGAGACTATCCAGTTTAGTCACTAAAGTGACAATTAAATTGAATTTACGTTCAAAATGGCCGAATTGGAAACATTCTCAATGTCAGCTGTGCTTTTATTTTGGCTACCCTGTTATTGAATTTTAAATTCAATTTAAATTCATTTTGAATTCTCACTTTAGTAAATAACCCTGTTTAGTTGATTTTAGAGAATGTTTCCATATTGGCTTTCCTGACCACTTAGAATGAAAATGAAAAACACCTTGTTGGTGAACTAAACAACCTTTCTTTATTTCCACAGGTCTCTTTGGCGATGCCCTGGATGCCATTGCCTAACTGTGCTTCATGTCCCTATTGATGTATTCATTGCCACGGGCAGAGGATTGCCAATCGGCAGCCATCTTAATGTGAGCAAGGAGGGGTGAGTGTAGATGCTTCACAGATCACAGACCACAGACTGACCGGCATTTGGAATCTTACAACTTTCTAATAAATGCCCTTTATTATAAGCAGTGTTTCTGTTTTATTCCTTAGTGACTAGGAAGTGTAGAATTTTTTTTGTAACTAAGAATATAATGTATGGGCTACATTAGAATGGTGTTACTGGGTTTATATAAAAAAACAGGAATTGTGGAGAATTTGTAGTTTAGTGAATATACCGAGTGTTTCAGTAATATGTGTTCACTGTTAACCCTTCTGCCATGTGTAGCAGAAAAAAATGGTGTCTGAGTCTAATGGTACAGGGGAATAATAGCATTTCCCCAAAGTATTAAAGGAACACTATAGTGTTAGGAATACAAATGTGTACGCCTCTTTTGCTCAGATCATCATGATCGATGATCTCAGCCAATTCAATGCTTTCCCATATCAAAGCAGCAGGCGGCTAGTACGTATGCGCTACAAAACACCACACTGTGCCAATTCTCTGATTGAAATAGTGGATTTTTACCCCAATATTTTGGTGGTAGCATCTCTAGTGCATCTCTAGTGCCGGTCAGTATGACAGCCAGCACAGCAATGTTTTCAACTGCAGGGGTAAAACGAGTGGGACATGGCACCCAGACCACTTCACTGAGATGAAGTGATCTTGGTGCCTATAGTGTTCTTTTAATATTATAGTGTTATATTCCATACAAGTGCATGGATGCAGAAATAAAGTCAAATTAATAATTGGTAATTAACTGCTAATTAATCAAAGCCATTCAGTTCAACAAATGCATAGTTTAAAAGCAAGTAAGTAGATCTCTGACACTGTTCCAATCAACAATTTACAAAATGATGGCCTTTAATGAGAAAAAGAGACAGTGCTGAAGTTGCAGGTTCCTGACTTGCCAATCCAAGTACTTAAAATCAATATTGTTATTAGTCTAAACAGATCTAAGTTAAATGTTTCCTGTTCCATATTTTCTGTCCATGGCTTGTGCTGTTAGCAATCTTTACATGACCCAGTTTTATAAAGAGACCTAGGACCTATAATCATGGGCAACCGTCCCCAGACACTCCACCCTGGAACATTTTCTTTAAGGATACTTTGCCAATATAAAATTTTGTTTAAAAGTATCATTCAAGATGAATTCAACAAACCTACATGTGCAAAGTAAATCCGAGGTGGCCAAGAGGCAAATTCCCTAACTATAACTGGAGATCTACTTTATGACCATCCCTGGTTTAAAGTATTGAAATATAAGCAAAATATGGTGTAAAATGTGATAAAATAGCAGATAAGATTGTTGTATTTTTCTGCTGTGCTGTTTATTACTGCTAGTAATACTTTAATGCATTAACGTTAAGTAAGTTGATTCACAATTTTTTAAAATTTTTTTTTTTTTTTTAAAAGAGCCCTTGTTTAACAATTTAAGAAACTTCCTCAAAACTCGGTCAGTAACCTGCTCGTACTACCAGTAAAATCCTCTAGATTGCTAAAACTTGACATTTTGCACTTCTCAGCTCTTAACGTAGGGGAAAAAGTCCCTATTGCATTAATCAGTTCTCCTTATGAAGATGCCATCTCAGCTAACTTTGCTAGTAGTAAATTCTGTCACTGCCATGACTTATAAATGGAAAGCTCCACTTTAATTTCTGGCTTCCTGTCCTCCTCAGGAAAATAGAGACTTGAACAAAATCCCCCACAGGCCACATAAAACAATTAAGTCCCCAAGAACCTCAGTGAAGCCAAAGAGATATGAGCGACGTTTAGCTACTTCATAAACATAAGGGTCTGTCGTGTAGTTGGTGATTCAGTCAAACATACAATTAGTGTACATTACAGAACATTGTACAGCGCTACGGAATTTTGCTGGCACTATATAAATAATAAAATAATAATAAAAAATAATAGGAGCAGACAATGGTACAAGCTTATCTCTATTATTATTACTGGCATTTACAAAACACCAACAAATACTGATGCGCTGTACAATTTGGATTGTGGGGGAGGGGGAGACAGTGCAATATACATAGACTAACACAATAGGCAAAGACGACCCTGTTAATGAGCATAAACTAAAAAGCTAAAGCGGGGGCTGACTGCGACTGCCAAGCAAGTAAGACGCAGGTTGAAGGAGCTTCTCGGCCTAACTTTAAAACTAAGCCTATAACTCAAGCTGTTTTTAGGCAGCCGTTTATTTTATTTTTATTAATTGGAAAAACACCCTGATGTAATGCTGGACTGAATTTTACTGGTTTCACCAGGTGCTTTGTCGTGCGAGTTGTGACTGAGGCCTGCTAGCTATCTCCGGCCAGGGGAAGGAAACAAGTCCCTGCTTTCGCTCACCTTATGCTTTTATTTGGATCCCGTTTTTCCCCCTTTGGAGGCTGCCTAATGTAAATTCTGTGCATATTTTACACGTGTGAGTGCACGCTGCCGACAGATGTAACTTCCTCTGCCTCCCATTCCTTCCACACTGAATTAAGCCCTCCCTATCCCCTATGCTATTATTTTAAAACCCCGCCCTCCATTCCCTCCCTCTCACCCTTCTTCCGCTGGCTCAGGGCGTGCTCCTGCTTTCTACACTGGTAAAATTGATTCTCTATGAAAAGCCACTGATTGGACCTCAGCACGGCTCAAATGCCGGCTGTACCGGTAAAATATCAGCCAGCTAGCAACCATGATCACAAACTGCAAGGCAGTGCGTGGCAGGGACTAATGGATGTTGTATCATAGCATGTCCATGGATATTAGCAGGAACATTGCTGTACCTTGTGCTCAAATAAAGAATGAAACATGCCAAATTGGAGTTGCACTCTAATGAATGCAGTCCTGTTTCAAAGATTTATTTTATGTTTTGTGTGACAGTCACGAGCAACATTTTAACCTTGACTTCTTAGCAGTGCATCCAATTGCAACATTTTTGTACTTAGAATAGATAACCATTACAGATAGGGTGATTTTTTTTTTTTTTTTCATTTGTAGAAAATCTAATCTAGCCTTTTTTCATACAGAGTAACTAAGAATTGCAAAATTGTAACAATTCCAAATGTTCTAGAAATCAAACTCTTAAAACATGAACACTGAAACAGTTTTTTTTATTTTTCTTTTCTATCATCTTCCTTTTGTAAGATTAGTTTTATGAGTACATGCAGACAGGTTTTAGTGCAGCATATTATATATATATATATATATACATATTATATATATGTAACGTCATACAAAGTGTATTTTAATATTAATATAAGTACATATATTAGTATTAAAATACACTTAGAATGACGTTACATATATATAATATGTATATATATTATATATAATAGATATATACACATATATTATATATATATATACGTATCATTACAATAATAAATAAATAAAATAAATAAAATATTGAAACAAAATTTAATATAAATTATATATTCGTATGTAATCTCATTCTAACTGTATTTTGTTATTTTTATATATATATATATATATATTTTTTTTTTATATATATATATATATATATGTATATATATTTATATATATATATATGTATTGGTAACAAAATACACTTAGAATGACATTCTATATATATCTATCTATATATAAAATACAAATAACCGCATATATATATATAGATAAATACATATAATTACATAAAAGATTACATTAGTATACACATAGAATTTAAATACCTATAAATGCATATATATTAAAATTCTACATGTATATTTAAGTAATCTTTTAACATAATTATGTGATTTGATTAATTAAAATTTGATTGACATGCCTGACAACACAGGGAGAAAGTGCAGAGAATTTAATTCACAAGCACTATATTTGACCCTTTAACTCTCCAAGATACCATAAAACCTGTACATAGGGGGTACTGTTTTACTCGGGAGACTTCGCTGAACTCAAATATTAGTGTTTCAAAATGATAAATTGTATTACAACGATATTTTAAGTAAAAGTGCAGTTTTTTGCATTTTTTACAAACGAACGGCACTTTTATGGACTATATTATTGTTGTAATATGTTTTACTGTTTTTAAAACACTAATATTTGTGTTTAGTGAAGTCTCCCGAGAATAACCGTACCCCCCATGTACAAGTTTTATGGTGTTTTGGAAAGTTAGAGAGTCACAAATAAGGCTTGCATTTCATTTTTGACATTGAAATTTGCCAGATTGGTGATGTTGCCTTTGAGAGCGTATGGGGGTAATTCTCATTCCTGGGCTACCACACCATCTCAAAGGTAACATTACTAATCTGAAAATGTAATGTGCTATATTTTACCCTGTAACTTTCCAAAACACTGTGAAAAAAAACTGTTAATGGGGGGTACTGTTGTACTCGTGAGACATCGCTGATTACAAATATGTGCATTTTTTTGCAGTAAAACCTAACAGTACTATGACATTAACAGCTAAAATGTCAGACGGAAATACAAATTTAAAAAAAAATAAAATCTTATTTTCTCACTTTTTTTTTAATTTTATTCATAATAAATTATGTTCCATATATGAATAGTTAATGATAAATTAAAGCCCTGTTTCTCCTGAATAAAATGATATATAATAAGTGTGAGTGCACTTAAAGGACCACTATAGTGCCAGGAAAACATACTCGTTTTCCTGGCACTATAGTGCCCTGAGGGTGCCCCCACCCTCAGGGTCCCCCTCCCGCCCGGCTCTGGAAGGGGTAAAAACTTACCTTTTTCCAGCGCTGGGCGGAGAGCTCTCCTCCTCCTCTCCGCCTCCGTTACGCCCCGCCGGCTGAATGCGCACGCGCGGCAAGAGCTGCGCGCGCATTCAGCCGGTCTCATAGGAAAGCATTTGCAATGCTTTCCTATGGACGCTGGCGTGCTCTCACTGTGAAAATCACAGTGAGAAGCACGCAAGCGCCTCTAGTGGCTGTCAATGAGACAGCCACTAGAGGATTAGGGGGAAGGCTTAACCCATTCATAATTATAGCAGTTTCTCTGAAACTGCTATAATTATGAAAAAATGGGTTAACCCTAGAAGGACCTGGCACCCAGACCACTTCATTAAGCTGAAGTGGTCTGGGTGCCTAGAGTGGTCCTTTAATGTGACAGCGGTGAATTACGATTGAACAGACATATAGCGCAAATTCCAGTTTTTGTTTACGTTTTGTTTTGATCAGAACATGTACTATTGACTCCGTCCTAAAGGGGTTAAGGATACCAAATTAGGAGCTATCTACTAAACACATACACATGTATATACATAATCACAGATATACATAGACACACATATAATCAGAGACCTATGCACAGACATACACACACTCACATACACCCATAATTACAGACATGCACACACACAAATCTCATTCAAACACACACATTTAGTAATTAAGGAGTCCACCCAGTCTCCATACCTTGCTCTGGGAGGGCTGAAGTGGATCGTTTCCCTGTTGGCCAGTGGATCACTGTGCTCTTCCTGCACAGGTACCTCGCCTGCCCAGTAGTGATGCCGATGATGTCAAATCCCAGCTGCCTCCTCACTGCAGGGCACACCAGGGAGCTCTGTAGAAAGAGCACATTAAAGGACCACTATAGGCACCAAGGCTCAATGAAGTGGTCTGGGTGCCAGTGTTATGTTTCACTGCGGGTTAATCCAGCCGCTAGAGGCGCTTCCGCAATTCTCACTGAATATCACAGTGAGAAGACACTGGACATCCAAAGGAAAGCATTGAGTAATGCTTTCATATGGGCTGTTTGAATGCATGCGGCTCTTGCCGCGCATGCGCATTCGGATCTAACGTCGGCAAGGGGTGGAGAGTTCCCCAGCTCCGAGGGAGCCCGGCACTGGAGAATGGTAAGTGACTGAAGGGGTTTTAACCCCTTCAGCCCAGCGAGAGTGGGGCCCTGAGGGTGGGGGGGGGGGAGGGGAGGGGGGACCTAATGACCCTTTAGTGCCAGGAAAATTAGTTTGTTTTACTGCCACTATAGTGCTCCTTTAAGTAATGGGCTCCCTGCCTCCCTTGCTGCCCGGCAGCCCAGATGGTAACTGGGCCACATTACAAGCAGTTCCGGGCTGCAGGTTGGACACGCATGCCCTAAATGATCTCTATACAATGCTGTTCAGGTTCCTATAGTAACCTATAGTGTCTAATGCTTTTTTATGCTGTCACGCAGTGATAAATCATTTAAATAAGTAATTCATAATTATTTGCACTGAACCCCTAGAACTAGGTGTGTCAGCACTTGGACAATCCATATTCGCTCTAGCAAACCCTACAGGAGGTAATCTAAAAATCTATTTGTATAATTGCTAATGTATGCAAAGTGCCCTAGATAAGGGTGCTATGTAAGCACAGTTAAATAAATGCATACATTTCATCATATCCTGACCAGCTTACTGCCAGTAGCCTATTCTCCTCTGTACCTAGAGCAAGAGATCACAAGGCCCATTCAAAAGCACTTATTTTGAGATCCTTAAAAATTATTTTTTCAAAAGGATGTTAGGGTTTTTTTTGGTCTCAAACTTCTCACCTCTTTTCTTACGTATCCGTTCTTTTTTCTTTTGAAATTCCAACACAGTCAAAAGATATATTGAGACAAAGTAAGGAATATATATATATATATATATATATATATATATTTCCTATACCTGAAACTTCTAGACACTGGATGAAGCTACCGCCATGTAGAAGTGTCAATCAGGGAATTGGCTCTGTCTATGGAGGATCTCGCAGGATCATCCATTGATCTCAATGCTGTCAGCAGTTGCGTCGGCTCCAGGCGCTGAAATGCTAGGATCTGAAGAGGATATGCTGGAGATAGATGGCCGCACCCATGAGAGACCGGTTTAGGTAAGTAGAACCCACATTTATCTGCGCCCTCTGGCCACTAGACCCCCAGACTGGGGGTCTTTGGGAGTTATGCAAAGTCCCCAGGCAGTGACAGTGTCGCTTTAAAAAGCCTGATTCTGGCTTATGCTGCAAACAGTGGAGAGTGGAAAATTGTAAAAAGGGAAGCACCTCTCAGCTGGAGGGGGAAAAAAAGATCAGATAGGGGCCAGAAACAGTAGAAAAGGAGATGAAGAATAGATTGAGAAAAGATTGATAAGATAGTGGAGGCACAAGACAGAGTGAACAGAAGTACAAAGACAACAGACCGTATAGATAAAGAGAAATTAAGTAGTAATAGAATAGACGGCTCCCTGCCTCCAGCTCACACACTGGTGTGAGATGGTAGATGGGGGAGAATGGTTAATACACAATACATTAGTAAGTTATAGTGTTCTAAATGCAAGTCTTGACAAAGGCAAAGGATAGTGCCGAAACTTTGTCTTTTTCTCTGAACTTCAAAAAAAAAAAAAAAAAATGCCTGTTAATAAGAAACCATTGGGTGTGCCCAGTCGTATGTAATTGTCCCAGTTGGATTGACTGGGAGTTTGCCCTCCTGGTTTGGAGCAATCCAGTTGGAGTATTCCCCTAGTGAGTGTGTGCATGACCTCTTACATTCTAGAACTAATATCTCTATCTGAAATGCTGCACATACAGATTACTTGCATCATGCCTAATGCAGAAATGGTCATGGTGGTTGCAGTAACGTTTTAAGGTGTAGCTGTCATGTCTGACCATGTGATACCTGTTTGCTTATGTAAATGTGTAAATTGAGGATAATTGGATTAAATGGCAAACATGATTCTCTGATACCCATTGCAATTATTTACTTTTTTTTTTTTTTTTAAATCCACTTAAGTAAATACTGGTCAAATTGATATGCAGATCTGTGTAATAATGTATGGGAAAGCTTATCTTCACAGACAGTGATTTTGTGTGTTTGTTTTTTTGGTTTTACCCTTTGATTTGAAAGTGTTACATGATGAGTTGCAGTGATAACTTTGCATGCAAGTCAGTTTTTTTTTCCAGCAGAATTTTATCTATAAACAAAATTTTATAGAAGTTGCCTTTGCCAAATATAGAAATAAGTGTTTATTTACACAGCTGGAAGAAAGGTCAATAGGGCATTAAGCATAGAAAAATTATAACATGTTTACTTTATGAAAAACACTTTTATTTTTTATTTTTTTATATCAAATTAAAGTTAAAGCACCCTAGTTAAAACAGCTTACTGCAGTGGTTATGGTGCTAGGGATTAAATGGATTCTACACTGTAAGGAATACAAAGTTGTTTTCCTTACACTATAGTTCCCTCTCCCCTGCACCCCCTCCCCCCAGCTGCACAGAAAGGGTTAAAAAAAATTATTATAATGAGGAAATCTAACTATCCAAGTATGTGTAGTAAGCGACTGTGAGGGCTGGTGTACAAGGCTATTGGATTGCAGAATTGACACAGGTTCCTACTTTAGTGGCATACACATTCACATTGTGGTATTTGGCTGTGCTGAAAGTATGTGCAGCAATACAAATTGTCCAAATTGTGCTTTACCCAGCCCCTAGTCCTCTGATCTGCTCACTGTATGTCCAGGAGTTTGGACAGATAATAAAGAAATAACCCCTTAAGGACGGAGGCAATTGTACAAGTTCTGATTAAAACAAAACCTGGAATTTGACTATATGTCTGTATATATCATTTTGTTCAGGAGAAACAGGGCTTTCATTTATGAACTATAACTGTATAGGAATAAAAACAGAAAAAGTGTGAGAAATAATTTATTTTATTTTCCTAGTTCTGCATGGCATTTTACTGGTGAATGTAATACTACTGCTAGTTTTTATCACACACGTACACACATATATTGTGTTCTGCTATGCCTCACGAGTACAACAGTACCCCCTATGTACAAGTTTTATGGGGGTTTTGAAAGTTACAGGCTCAAATATAGGGCTGTCCCCTGTCCAGTTTTTGCACATTGAAATTTGCCAGATTGGTTATGTTGCCTATGAGACCATATGGAAGCCCAGGAATACAAATTAAAAATGGGGTAAGTCACTTCTTTTTTAGTAGCCACTTGGTCACAAACCAAAGTTAGCATCTAAATTTGTTTTTTTGCATTTTTTTTTTACACAAAAACTGAATTTTCACTGATATCATCCTTGTGATACGTTTTACTGTTTTAAAACACTCATTTATATTCAGTGATGTCTCCAAAGTACAACAGTACTCCCCATGTACAGGTTTTATGGTGTCTTGGAAAGTTACAGGGTTAACTATAGGCAGGGCCGGATTAACATAGGGGCTGATGGAGCTGCAGCTCCAGGCCCAGGCCCAGGCCCAGGCCAATGGAATAGGCCCCAAAAAAATGTACAAAAAAAAAAAATGTTTTTTTTTTTTTAATACACTGCACTTAGGTTTGCCACCTGACTGGTATTTTAAGGCACAGCCGGTATTTGAGGCTGCATGGCCGTGATGGTATTGCAGTAATACCGAAATACAAATGCAAATATTTTTTTCAGTATAAATGGAGATTACTCTGCAATACCAGCACCGGCCAGTAGGGGTCACTAAGTATGGAGAGAGGCAGGGATAAGAAGTTACAGCATCTCCCTGCCCCTCTCTACTCACTGATCTGCGGGGAGCAGTTACACAGCACAGAGAGTCCAGACAGCAGCTCCCAGCCTGCAGAGATAGACTACAGTTCAGGTATGTGAAGGATGGTGGAAAGGCAGCAGGGAGACATGGGGACACTGAGACACTAGAGGACACTGAGAGACTTGGGGACACTGGGAGACTAGGGGACACTGGGAGACATGGGGACACTGAGAGGCATAAGGAGACACATTGGGACATGGAGACACTAGGGACACAGTGTCTTCATGTCTCCCAGTGTCCCCATGTATCCCAGCCAGTGTCCCTAGTGTCTGTGTCCCCTAGTCTCCCAGTGTCAGTGTCCCCATGTTTCTCAGTGTCCCCATATCTCCTGGTGTCCCCAAATGTCTGTGTCCCCATGTCTCCCAGCCAGTGTCCCTAGTGTCTCAGTATCCCCATGTCTCCCAGTGTTCTCATGTCTCCCAGTGTCCCCAAATGTCTGTGTCCCCATGTCTCCCAGTGTCCCCATGTCTATGTCCACAGGTGCCCCATGTTTCCCAGTGTCCCCAAGTGTCTGTGTCCCCATGCCTCCCAGCCAGTGTCCCTTAGTCTCCCAGTGTCTGTTTTCCCATGTATCTCAGTGTCCCTAGTGTCTTAGTTTCCCCAAATGTCTGTGTCCCCATGTCTCCCAGTGTCTGTGTCCCCATGTCTCCCAGTGTCTGTGTCCCCATTTCTCCTATTGTCCCCAAATGTCTGTGTCTCCATGTCTGTATCCACAAGTGCCCCCATGTCTCCCAGTGTCCCCTAGTATCCTAGTGACACGGGACACACTGAAGCATGGGACACTGGGAAAAATGGACACAGACACTGGGAGACTAGGGGACTGGGCGACATGGGGACACTGATACTATGATACATAGGGACACTGATGTCAGACTGGCCTTCCAATTCTTGCCCCCTTTAGGCAGTTCTGGTCACGTGATTTGTCAGTGGCCCACCCTTTTACCACGCCCATTGACTTCCTGCTTCACTGGACACTGCTATTAGGGGGTATGGATTCACTTGAAAGATGAAAGCATAAATTAGATAAAGAGATTAGCATAGAGTATGTGTTTTCCTATAGCTGCATCCTTTGAGTTTCCCTCCAACACCAACTCCACAAGATACATGACACTTGGGAGGTATGACTGTTTTAGTGTTTTTGGGTCGATAAGATTCTGTAATTAGGCCCCATCCTATTTGTCAGCACCAGGCCCACTGGGCTATTAATCTGGCCCGGACTATAGGGCATGAAATTTAAATTCTCAGGACTTTCTTACTGGGTTGTCAGGCAGGTCCCTCAAATTGTAATTAGTAAAATCACATAATTATGTAAAAAGATTACCTAAATAAACAGGTAGATTTCTCTCTATAAATCTACCTTTAAATCTATATATTTAAAGTCTACGTGTATATTTATGTAATATTACATATACAGTTGCAAGAAAAAGTATGTGAACCCTTGTGTAGATCATTTTCGATATTTTTTTTTTATTCTCTACATGCACAGTATTGAGGTGGTAAAGTCCAGCATATGCCCAGCCTGAACTTAGTGATATTTGAATACAGTTGCAAGAAAAAGTATGTGAGCCCTTTGGAATGATAAGGATTTCTGTACAAATTGGTCATAAAATGTGATCTGATCATCATCTAAGTCACAACAATAGACAATTACAGTCTGCTTAAACTAATAACACACAAAGAATGAAATGTTGCCATGTTTTTATTGAACACACCATGTAAACATTCACAGTGCAGGTGGAAAAAGTATGTGAACCCTTGGATTTAATAACTGGTTGAACCTGCTTTGGCAGCAATAACTTCAACCAAACGTTTCCTGTAGTTGCAGATCAGACGTGCACAACGGTCAGGAGTAATTCTTGACCATTCCTCTTTACAGAACTGTTTCAGTTCAGCAATATTCTTGGGATGTCTGGTGTGAATCCCTTTGAGGTCATGCCACAGCATCTCAATTGGGTTGAGGTCAAGACTCTGACTGGGCCACTTCAGAAGGTGTATTTTCTTCTGTTTAAGCCATTCTGTTGTTGATTTACTTTTATGCTTTGGGTCATTGTCCTGTTGCAACACCCATCTTCTGTTGAGCTTCAGCTGGTAGACAGATGGCCTTAAGTTCTCCTGCAAAATGTCTTGATAAGCTACATTTTTTTCTTGGATGATAGCAATCCGTCCAGGCCCTGACGCAGCAAAGCAGCCCGAAACCATGATGCCCCCACCACCATACTTCACAGTTGGGATGAGGTTTTGATGTTGGTGTGCTGTGCCTTTTTTTCGCCACACATAGTGTTGTGTGTTTCTTCCAAACAACTCAACTTTTGTTCCATCTGTCTACAGAATATTTTGCCAGTACTGCTGTGGTACATCCAGGTGCTCTTGTGCAAACTGTAAACGTGCAGCAATGTTTTGTTCTGTGGTATCCTCCCATGAAATCCATTCTTGTTTAGTGTTTTACGTATTGTAGATTCTTAGCATTTGCCAGTGACTTATGTAAGTCTTTAGCTGACACTCTAGGATTCTTCTTCACATCATTGAGCAGTCTGCGCTGTGCTCTTGCAGTCATCTTTACAGGACGGCCACTCTTAGGGAGAGTAGCAGCAGTGCTGAACTTTCATCATTTATAGACAATTTGTCTTACCGTGGACTGATGAACAGCCAGGCTTTTGGAGATACTTTTATAACACTTTCCAGCTTTATGCAAGTCAACAATTCTTAATCGTAGGTCTTCTGAGAGCTCTTTTGTGTGAAGCATCATTCACATCAGGCAATGCTTCTTGTGAAAAGCTAACCCAGAACTGGGGTGTTTTTTTATAACCAACACCTCCAATCTCCTCTCATTGATTGGACTCCAGTTGGCTGACATCTCACTCCAATTAGCTCTTGGAGATGTCATTAGTCTAGGGGTTCACATACTTTTTCCACCTGCACTGTGAATGTTTACATGGTGTGTTCAATAAAAACATGGCAACATTTCATTCTTTGTGTGTTATTAGTTTAAGCAGACTGTGATTGTCTATTGTTGTGACTTAGATGATGATCAGATCACATTTTATGACCAATTTGTTCAGAAATCCATATCATTCCAAAGGGTTCACATACTTTTTCTTGCAACTGTATATATTTGTTTAATTTTAAAATTGTTTTTATTTAAATATATAATTTATTTACAAGTGTATTTTGATACGAATAAATATATATTATATATATATATAATCTATCTTAAAGTACAGTAAGAATTAAATTGTATATACATATAGTAGTAATTTCTGGCACTCTTCCCTTTTTGATTGAAAACCTCAATACAATACCAGGGTGCTTCCCAGCACATTAAATATATCCAAAAGTAAACAAGAGCACTCAATGGTTTTGGAAGTGAAAAAAAATGTGTATTCACAGTCGTATATACAGAGCAATGTTTCCGCTGACAAACCGGCCTTTATCAAGATCTTGATGAAGGCCGGTTTGTCGGCCGAAATGTTGATCTGTATATGTAACCGTGAATTCACATTTTTTTCACTTTCAAAACCATTGAGTGCTCTTGTTTGCTTTTTGGATGATTATATATAATTTTGCTTTAATTATTTTTATTTATTTTACATATATACACACATATTTATATTAATATAAAAATATATTTAGCATGAAATTATATATATCTCTTTGTGCCATAATAACTTTACTTGATTTTTCAGCCTTTTAGGGAGACTGCCTGACCTCGCAGGCAAGTATCGACCTGACCCCTCTGTCCAGTGCTCCGTCTCACAGTCAAGATGTAGACCCCTCTGCCTGTCCTGCTTGCAACTTTGTGAAAGAATAGTGCAGCCAGCAAGCAGGTCTGAAAACTCTGCTACTGGATTTCCTGAACAAACTAGACGGGACACACAGTTTCCAATGAAACTAGCACACAATACTTTATTTTTGACAAGGAGTAGCCTTTGGTGACTTGTCCTTAAACCTGTACAGGTGAAATACAAGTAAATACAAAGTTGAAATAACTGGTAATAAACAACATACTAAAAATGTAAAATATCAATACAATGATTTGGTTTTATATATATATATATATATATAATATTCTTAATAGAGACAGCCGTATTTGTCCAATAAAAAAAGGTATTACAAGATAAAAATTGTATCTGTTTTTTCTCTCTCTCTCTCTCTCTCTCTCCTAAATAGTGGGAAAATACGCCTATTATATTTATTTGGCAGCACATTGATTGGCTCATTGTCATGTCCTTTATCCTCATATTTGTCCCTGGACTCTATGCTGTCAAATACAAGCGTTACGTGAATGAGCGTCAGACATCACAAACAAAAATTTTAGGAAAAGTTATTCAGCCATATAGAACTTTCTGCAGTGCATAATTCTAACGCAGGCTATATGAATTTTTAGTATTAATAGTAGTTGCTGTTACTCGGCATTAGACATTTTGATGAATAACATTTTAAAGCAGGACAGTCACTTATGGGGTTCAGGTCTGGCCTTGTGCGAGCAGTGTTGCCACACAGGGCGCTATGGCAGCAGTGGGGCCGGGCGGCCAGTAGTGCAGCGGCAGAACTTCAAAACCAGCCGCAAGTAAGGAAGGTGGGGGCAGAGCTAAATTGACAATGGAGCAGAGCCAAAGGCGGTGCTAAATGCGACCTCCACCTGCTGCTGTTACTGCTGCATACTGAGATGAAGCAAGCCCGGCTTCCCCTAACTACTAGACACTAGTGACAAGAGAGAGTGTGTGTGTGTGTGAGACTGTCTGCCTGTGTGTGTGACTATGTGCCTGGGACTGGGTGCACATGGCTGTATTTGACAGCAAATGTGTATCACTGTGTGTCTGACGGTGGAACTGTATCTGCATTCACACATGGGCCTACATGCATTTTTATTTTATAATCTGAAATATAAAATAACCATCACAAACAGGCGCAGACCAGATTCCCAGCACACCGGACCACCACAGATCATCCACCCTGCAAGGTAACAACAGAAAAGGAGGAATTAATATATTTTTTTAATAATTATTTAATAAAGCCCCCTTTACAAACAATACACCCCTATACAATATACACACACTATATGTGACCAGGAAGGGCCGCTGTGAAGATTTTTCTCACAGGGTGCTTAACCCCGTAAGGACACGTGACATGTCATGATTCCTTTTTATTCCAGAAGTTTGGTCCTTAAGGGGTTAAAGGCCTAAAACCAGCTCTGATATGGTTGTTGCACTTTTTTCACAGATGACACGTCTGCTTGTATGTAAGGAGATTGTTGAGGTGGGGGTGGAAAAGGAGAAGTATTTTCTTAGTCCCCTTTCTTCATGCAGCCTGCTCTACTGTTTCTAGTAAAAGGCTGCATAGATCTTCTCATGCATGAACAATGAGATGCAATAGGCATCTACTTTGCATTGTATAAGAATATTCCTGTTTCCATCAGCCACGGATACGTAAGGCTGGTTGGAAATGTAAGGTAATGGTAATATTGCAGGTGAAAGTGAATGAATATTAGCCTTTTAACATAATTTATCCTGTACATAAGACAAATTCTCTGAATACTTCAATCCCCAAAACAGTTGAAAATTGAGACAAAAATTAACAAATCAGGCAGAATAACAAACTGTGGTGTTAAAAGACAACTATCCAAAATTAATACAAATAGCCTAGCTGTTGAAATAGTTGTGTTTAGTTGGGACTCTAAGTAACAATAGCTAATTTTAGCTTTTATGGTGAATGGAATCTTTGGATGCTGGCCCTCTGATTTTTGTCATATTTTTGTTCAAGTGGTTTGACAAAAAATGTTGGATTCTTTGGCATTTAGAACCCTGGATTGTCACGTGACAAAAGTTCACCTACAGGTAAGAGGAGATGTTTCGCTCATCTGATTTGCCATTAACACTTCCAGTGTTGTAGACTGACACAAGCTACTACTTGACAAAAAAAACCAAAAAACTCTAAGGAACTGTACCCATAAAGCCTGTGTACCGTATTCAATACAAACAAAATGTAGTGGCGATGGTGCTAAAAAATCCCATATTAAATTTGGCTAATTCAGTTAAGTTTCCCATTTGCCACAATTCCTGCTTAGTGAAAACCCATTGTGTCAGAACTCGGGGGATTATTCATTGAGGCCTGAATGTGGTACTACATTGTATAATTCTGTGAAAATCACAGCATTTTGACTGAAATATGTAGATACAAGTCATAGTAATCCAGTGTCATCTGAAAATTAGCACGTGTTCAAATGACAGACTGACAAAAGCGATAATTATAATATAAATATGTATTATATTGTAAAAATATACATGGCACCTTGCCACAATTGTGGAAATATTCTGGACATAATTAAGAAACAATTGAGGAAATAATATGATTATTCACAGGGGGAAAAAATCCTTTAATTCAGAGTATTTTACAATTATGCTCCAAACTTATGCCAAATAATAGAGAAAATTTATGACAAACTTACCGTAATTTTCTTTTCCTGGCTATTTCTCATGGCAGCATCACTTATGGGTAGCTCCTCCCTTAGCAGTCACAGGACAGAAATTAATTAGATTAATTAATCAGACTGATAGGTATAAGGAGTCCCTCCTCCCCCTACACCTCAGTCCAATTATAAAGCTGAAATAAAAAATGGGCGGGAACCCTGATGCTGCCATGAGAAATAGCCAGGAAAAGAAAATTACGGTAAGTTTGTCAGAAATTTTCTCTATTCCTGGCTAATCATGGCAGCATCACTTATGGGTAATACCCAAGCTTCACAGAAAAATAGGGTGGGAATAATAATCCAAGAATTTACACCAAACTGAATCACATGCAGCAAAGAAAAGTTTAATATCAACTGGATAAAGAAACCGTAGACAGGACACTCTGTCCAAAGGAGGTGGAAGGAGACTCCACATCAAGTTTGTAGTGCTTCATGAATGTCATCGGAGAAGACCAGGTGGCTGCTCTGCAAATATCATCGTATGGAACCTCTGCCCAGCTAGCCCATGAAGTTGATAATGCTCTAGTAGAATGAGTTCTTATCTCCCGAGGTGGTGATATACCTTTAGAGATATACGCCTTCTTAATTATCAGAGAAATCCAACGTTTCAACGTAGATAAAGAAGCCGCCTCACCTCTCCTTGCTCCCAACGGCAAAACGAAGAGTTGGTCCGTTTTACGGAAAGACTCAGAACGTTTAAGATATGCAGACAAGCAGTTCATGACATCCAAACGTTGCCATCTAACCTCCTCCTGAGAAGAGGGGTTGGGGTAAAATGATGGAAGAACCACTTCTTGAGAGAGGTGAAACTGAGAAACTACCTTAGGAAGAAACTCTGGTTTTGGTTTCAGACACACCCTATCTTGGTAGAATCATAAACAAGAAGAAGATGTAGAAAATGCCTTAATTTCTGAAATCCTTCTTGCGGAAGTAATTGCCACCAAAAACAAAGTTTTATACGTCAGGAGAGTAGCATCCAAACTTTCAAGAGGAACAAACAGATCCTCAGTAAGATAATTGAGCACCATAGGAAGGTCCCAAGGAGGGGTAGTAGATCTGGAAGGAGGCCTCAACCTGAAGGCCGCTTTGAAGAACCTGGAAATCAAAAGATCCGAAGCCCATGAGATGTTGCACAAAGCTGAAAGTGCCGAAGACTGAACCTTCAAGGTGCTGAGGCTAAGGCCCTTGTCCAGGCCCTCTTGCAGAAACTCCAAAACTTCAGTATTGCTAGGATGCCGAAAGTCCACATTATGAGACGATGCCCAAGTTTGGAACACATCCCAGATCCTATGGTAGCATGAAGAAGTAGAAGCCTTCCTGGAGAGCAGAAGGGTAATGATCTCCGCCTCCGCGAGACCTTGTAATTGGAGTCTTTCTTTCTCAAGACCCATACCCCCAGTTTGAGGCATTCCGGATGAGGATGGAATACAGGGCCCTGCGATAGCAGATCCTCCATCACTGGAAGAGGCCAAGGTTGTTCCTGGCTCATCATGGCCAATAGGGGAAACCACGGCCTCCGAGGCCAAATTGGAATTACGGCAATGACTTTCTTGCCTTCCAACCAAACCTTCCGCAGGAACCTGGGTATCATGGGTAGGGGAGGGAAAACATACCCCAGATCGAACGACCAAGGCAGAGAGAGAGCATCCTGGCCCAGTGCCTGACAGTCCGGATGGAGAGAGAAGTAATTCTCCACCTGGTGATTCTGAGATGATGCCATCAGGTCGATCTGGGGCATGCCCCACCGATGAGCAATTTCTGCAAAGATCGCCGGGTGAAGTTGCCATTCTCCTGGAAGAATTTCCTTTCTGCTGAGGAAGTCTGCCGTTACGTTCTCCGAACCTGGGAGATAAATCGCCTTCAGGCCTTGACGATAGGTCATGGCTATAGCCTTTAAGGGAGCCAGCTCTTCCAGGAGCAACCTGCTCCTCGTGCCACCTTGGTTGTTCACATATGAGGCCACCGCTCGGTTGTCTGTTTTGATTAGAACCCAAGAATTCCTTAGCCTCGGCAGGAATCTCAAAATGGCCTTGTAAACCGCTCTCAGTTCCCTTAAGTTTGAGTGTAGGCGACTCTTCTCGGGTCCACTTCCCTTGAGTCCATACAGGACTGAAGTGGGCACCCCATCCAAAAGAACTGGCATCTGTTGTAATAACCTTCCAAGGGGGGTCTTCCAACGGGAAGCCTGTTGTCAAATTCCTCTCGCTCTTCCACCAGTTTAAGCCTTTCCTTACGGGAAGGGGAAGAGATATCATCTGTTCCCAATCCGCTTCCACTCTGTTGAACTGGAGAAGGAAGCAGTTCTGGGCCGGACGGAACTTCCACTGGGCCCACTTCACCAAGCCTATTGTTGAAGTCAAGGAACCCAGGAGACTCATGACTTCTCTTGCAGGTGCAGTTTCGAGAACTTGCAGCTTCCTTACTTTGTCTCTGATCTTCGTGACCCTTTCTGGAGACAGGAACACATGTGCAGACACGGTATTCACTACCGTACCCAGGAAAACGATAGTTTGTGCAGGAACGAGGGAGCTCTTTCCCACGTTCAGGAGCCAACCATGGTCTTGAAGAATGGACATTGCCACCGACGTATGTTGAGCTACAATTCCTTGAGATGGACCCAAGATTGATAGTAGGCGTCCCTTAAGTCTATTGAGGTCATCCAGTCTCCTTTTTGACACACTTCAAGATGGTCCTTAAGGATTCCATTTTGCACGTCCTTACGTCGAGCAAGGAGTTCACGCCTTTCAAATTCAAGATGAGACACCACTTTCCCTGTGGTTTTGGGGCCAAGAAGACCGTGGAGTAAATTCCCTGGAACCATTCCTGTTTTGGAACTTCTTCACCACTTTTTGTTCCAGGAGTACAGAAATGCAGGACCTCATGGCCCATCGTTTGATGTCTACCGGCACCTTTGATCTTCTGAAGAATGCAGTTTTCGGGTAAGATGAGAATTCTATTCTGTAACCTTCTTTTACGATGGAAGTGACCCATAGGTCTGAAATATTGCTGGCCCATATGGGGTAGAAGAACTTCGGTCTACCTCCCGCCGTCCCCGAACGGGCCTGGGGACCTTCAGAAGTTCTTCCCTGAGGTTCTAGCACCCCTTCCTCTGGAAGCCTTATTGGAAGATGAGTGTGAATAGGATTTCCATGAAGAATTCCTGGAAAACTCCCTTCCTGGTTTATAGCTCCTGCTGTCCCGAAAGGACCGATCCTTGAAGCGCTTGGTCTTCCAGGAGGAGGGAAAAACTCATCCTGCCAGCTTGAGGTAAACGCATTTTTCCCATCAGCAGCTTTTTGAATAGCATCTTC